ACCTCTACTTAGGCGTGCTGTATCACCGTGTTCATCCCCTTCATAACATTCAGCGTGTTAGGCTTTGCACAATCTAAATCATGGCTCCGTCTTGGCTTCTCTCTCTGTGAGCTCCAGAGAGGGGTGCTGAGAATCTTTACAAACTTCAGGGACAGGCTGAAGGGATTGCTTGGTTTCCTCTAATGTTTCGTCTTGGATTTAATGTACTTTGGGTGAAAATTTACAGAGCAAATTAGTTTCCAGTTCACCAGTTCCTTCCTACAAATTTCTTTTGTGACATTGACTGCTATCCCCTCATCCAACTCCCTCCCTCCCTGGGTCCCTGTTTTCTTCGCCCTTCTTTCCTGTCCCTTCCTGCCTCCTGAGCTTTGTTGTTGTTGTTAAGTGTCTTGGGGTCAGTTCTGACTCATAGCAACTCCACATACGGTTTTCAAGGTTGGTATGTTTGAATGTGTGGTTAGCAGTCTAGTGCTTATCCTGTAGTGCCACATCAGAGCCCTGCTTTTGAATGGTCACTATGGGTCAGAATCAACTCGACAACACTTAACAACAATGTTTGACATTGGGTTGCATCTCAATATAAAGACAACAAAAATCCTTACCACTGGACCAATAAATAACATCTAAATAAATGGAGAAGAGATGGATGTTGTCAAAGAGTTCGTTTTGCTCAGATCAACTATCAACACTCATGGAAGCCGCAGTCAAGAAATCAAATGATTATGCTACTCTGAAGAACAAGGAAGCTGTAAGCTACCTCATAACATGGATGAGCCTTGAGGATATTCTGTTGAGTGAAATCAGTCAGTCACAAAAGGAGAAATACTGCATAGGACCACTACTGTAAAAGACTAAGAAAAAGAACCCATACTAAAGTGGGGTTGTTGTTGTTGTTGTTGTGAAGTGCCGTCGAGTTAGTTCTGACCCATAGCAACCCTGTATAGGGTTTCCAAGGAGCGTCTGGTGAGCTTGAACTGCTGACCTTGCAGTTCAAATGGCTTTGCAGTCTGGCGCACTAACCCACTGCGTCACACCAGGACTCCAAAGTGGCGGGGTAGGAGGGGATTATTTGCTGGTTACCGGGATGCGGGGGCATGGGTGGGGTGGGGTGGGGTGAGGGGCAGGAGGGGAAGGTGGAGCACAGGGTAGGGAATAGATACAAGATAGTTTGGGTGCTGGGGAGGGGGACAATACCCAAGAAGGGGGAGGGGAATGGAAGAACAAGGCAGATGGGAAAACAATTAGACAGGTTTGCATGGGCTAAGTGGGACAGAGGTAAATAAGGATGTATACACAACCTTGGAACAACAGGGCTCTGGGGTACAGGGATTGTGACATGGTTGGAATGGGCAAAAGGAGGGAAATAATGTTACGATGCTTGGCTGTCTTTTGAAAAAAAAAAGCAAATCAATAAGGCAGCTAGTACTCTCCTTAGGATCAGCAGGGCTTTTAGCTGTGCTTTAGGGAGTAGAAACGGCAGCCTCTCCAGGTTACTGACTGGAAGCAGAGTGAACTGGGATTCAAAAATCAGCTAAAGAGAAGGGAAAGAGTCTTCACCTGTGAGCACTAGCTAGATTTTCAGAGTTTCTTGTTTGCCTCTCCCCAAAACGCTTTTCATAGACTTTTTTTTAAAAAGGAAAATCACAGCATAGCCCTATAGGAACTGAACTACGTGCATCATTTCATGTTGTTTTCTCCTTTACACCTGGTATTCCTAAAATAGCTTGATTATGGAATGACTGGCTTAACTATAAAACATTTTCTTTATTACTGTTTATCTTGATTTAAAAAAAAATAGAGATAGTAGAATAAATGTAACCTTTTGTGGCTATAACTGACCCTAAAATAAAGGTTATTTAACTTCTAAAAAAAAAAAAAGTAAGGCTGGCCAGGGGAGAAGAACACAAGCAGGATACGGGACCCTATCCAGAGAAGCAGCGACGCCAAAGATGGAGGCAGAGATGAGGACGTGGCGAGAGGGAGCAGCTGAGGACTGAGGACTCCAGACTCATGGAAAGAGAGGGACTAGGTACTGGCAGCCAGGAGGCAAGCTTACAGAATGTGCTCTTTGGTTGTTTAAATTATTATGTGTTTCTGTGTACACCCCCACCCCCCGAAAAAGAGAGAATGGAAGCAAATACTATTGAATGATGATGCACAGAGGAGATTGTAATCATTGCAATGAGACGATGGTGTAATGCCAGTGTTCTCCCATGTAAACTATCACTCAATTCACAATAAAAACTTAAAAAAAAAAAAAAAAAAAAGATATGCAGAAGACCGTGGAAAAGAATTGATGCATTTGAGTTATGGTGTTGGAGGAGACTATTAAAAGGACCACGACTGCCAAAAGACCAGACAAATTTGTGTTGGAAGAAGTACAGAATGTTCCTTGGAAGCCAGGATGGCTTTGGACATTTTATCAGAAGGAACCAATCCCTGGATAAAGACATCATGTTTGGTAAAGCAGAGGGTCAGCGGAAAAAGAGGAAGACCCCCAGTGAGGAGGACTGGGACAATGATAGTGGTAACGGACTCAGTTGTAGCAATGATTGTGAGGTTGGCGTAGGACCCGGCAGTGTTTTGTTCTGCTGTGCGTCAGGTCGCTGAGTTGGTACCAATTCGATGGCACCTAACAACAACAACAACAACAACAACAACAACACTAGTCCTGGTGTGGCACTATAGGACAAGCACTGAAATGATAAACTCGGGGTTGGCAGTTCAAACCCACCAGCCGCTACTTGGAAACCCTTAGACAGGATCGCTAGGAGTGTCCTGGTGTGGCGCTGTAGAATGAGCATTGGACTGCTAAATGCAAGGCCAGTGGTTCAAACCCACCAGCCACTCCTTGGAAACCCTGTGGAGGGTTGCTGTGAGTTAGAACCAACTGGATGGCAATTAACAACAAAAGTTTTATGCTTCTGAGTCCGTACGTAAATAACTCTGTGGACAAGCAGGTTGCCAACTCATGTGATTTTTGTGCTTAAGAATGAAAAACACTTCCCACTGGACCAACATTGTTTCCAGGAGCAAAAGGTCTTGGCAAGTCCAAACATTTTGACTGGTATGTTTTAGGAGAAAACATTTTCGGGCTGGATGAGACACATTTTATTTTACAAATATTTATTGAGAGCACAGCGTGGGTGAGGCCCTGGCTGGCTTTTTATCTCTGTCCCTTCCATTGGGAAAGTTCTTGGACTCTACCATACCACCTCTGGATATATGTTTAAGGGACGGAAACTGCTGCTGACCGACAACTGTCAGGAACCATAGAAGAGGGAACTTCAAAAAGTGCGTGGAAAACAATTCCATTACCTTTGAACTTCACATTTCCAGGACTTCTTTGAAGCCCCCTTGTACAGTGTACACACACAGTGGTACGTATGTGTTTTGCTCACTGACTTTCTGCATCTTCACAGGTTCCCTGAGTCAGAGCTATGAGTTCAGAGCGGGAGGACCAACATTTTAAAGTACGAAATAACGCAGGGCTCGCTTTGAAGCTCTTCAGCAACCATCCTAACAAAGTATTAAGTTCTTGTCTCACTTTTCAGACTCCCCAGGAGGTCTTGGGGGGGTCTCACATCACTCCTTCCTCCATTTAAAGGAAATATATTTTTTGGTGACTGTCTTGGTATCGCTGAGTCAAAATCACCCTTTCGGGACCTAACACCAAGCCCCGTGGGCCATAAGCATTTTTGTTCTTCTGGACTTCTTCCTCTCAAAGAATGATTGAAATGTATCATTTATGATTGCTTTGGTATAAAATCACAAACCCAAAACCAAAATTGCTGTCAAATCGATTCCAAATATTCTGACCCCGTAGGACAGAGTAGAGCTGCCCCATGGGGTTCCCAAAGCTGGAGTCTTTATAACAGCACACTGCCATATCTTTCTGCTCTGGAGCAGCTGGTGGGTTTGAACCGGCGACCTTTTGATCAGCAGTTGAGTGCTTTAACCACCTGCGCCACCATGGCCCCCTGGCATTAGTGTGTTGTTGTTGTTAAATTCCAACTCATAGTGATCCTATGTATGGTTTCCAAGGAGCGGCTGGTAGGTTTGAACCACCAACCTTGTAGTCAGCAGTCCAGTGCTTATCCTAGCAATGAATATTATCCAAAGTCTAATGGGTCCTAAGCATTTTTGCTTTAGTGGACTCCTTCCTCCAAAAAAATTATTTTAAATGATTTCTTACAACTTCCTTGGTACAAAACAAATATAATTCAAGCTGTATTATATTCATTTTTTTCCTTCGGATTAAAAATACATTAAAACATATTCATGGGTCCTAGGCACTTTTGCTTCAGTGGACCCTTCCCGCCGAAGAGAAAGTGATTGAATATTATCTTCATGAGTTCCTTGTTAGAAGGATGACTATAATCCACACTGGGTTATAATCTTCTTTTTTTTTTTTCTAATTAAAAACAAAAAGTAAAACTTTTGTGTGTGGGGGCCTCTAAAAGTTTTGTAGCTGTCTAGTGACACAATGAACTTAGAACCCACCCAGTGGTTCTGAGGAAGAAAGACCTGGCAATGTGCTTCCATAAAGAATAAACCCCAAATACCCGACGGCCATCGAGGTCACTCTGACTCATAGGGTTCCTATATAGGGTTTCTAAAGCTGTGAATCTTTCCAGAAGCAGGCAACCTCTCCTTTCGCCGGCACCATACATATAACAGCTTAGGGAAACACTCTGGGTGCTTCTACTACGTAACATGGGGTCTCTGTGAATTGGACAGAATCCATTCCATGGCTCCTAATAACAACAACAAAAGTCCTATGAACCCTACACGCTTTAATTTTTACAGACCCCTTCCTCCAAAAAAAAAGGTATTAAAAATGATCTTTCTCCCATTTTCTTGGCAGTAAGGATGAATAGAATCCAGGCTGGGTGACATTCATTCCTCCCCCTGCCCCCCCACCTGATTTGAAAAGATACGACATTTCTTCCGACCGCTGGGTGGGATGGACAAGCCCACACTGGCCTGAAGCCACTCACCTTATCCTCCTCGGCCCTCAGGTCGGGCATGGTGCTGATGCACAGGCTGACTGCCGTGGTGGCCACAAAGAGGATGGAGAGGCAGGCGAAGACCTTGCCCGGGAGCCCAGACTGCGGGTTGTCCACCATCTCCCGCAGTCGGTCCATGAGGAGCCCCCAGCGCGAGGGGTCCTGGGCAGGCCCGGCGGCCTCCGGTTGCTCCTGCAGCTCGTCCGCCCGGCGCAGCTCTGACAGTTCCTCTAGTTTCTGTAGTAGCTTCCGCAGGCAGCAGCGCTCCAGCCTGGCCTCCTGGATGCCCCAGTAGGTGAGCTCCTCCTGGAAGGACAGGGCGCACATCTCCCGCAGCAGGACGAGTTTGCCGGCCGCCAGGAAGCTCACGATTACCCCGAAAGCGCTGGGGCTCCTGTCGAAGAAGAACTCCTGGCTGGCCTCATCGTAATCGTCACAGAGCTGCGTGATCTCCTCGGAGTTGCGGCAGGACTTGAGCTGGCTCAGACGGCTCAGGGGAAACTCGTCCAGCGTGCTCCAAGGAAGCAGGTACCGCCGGCCGCCAACGTTGACCAGGATCTCCTTCTTGAGGTCAGCTGCAGGGGACGTGCCCGGGGTGCCCACCTTCCGGACCCTGCGGTAGTATAGGCCCTTGGTGGGTGGCGGCTGCTCCACGGTGCCAGGCAGAAGCGGACTCAGGGGGCTGCAGGAACCGTAGGGATGGTCTCGGGAGGGCATGGACATCTTTAGACACCCCAGCCAGGGACGTAGGCCCCCTCTGATGTCTACCTACCCGTCTGACATCCAAAGGGAAAAGAGCGAGAGAACAGGACAGCAGAGCAGTCAGTCTCAGAACAAAGGACCCTCCTTCCCACAAACATTTTCTCACCTACAATGTCGCTGATATGATTCACTCTTTTAACCTCTCACTCAACATGTATTTATCTGGGACCACCACCTGCTCTGGTAGTGTAGTGGTTATGAATTGTGCTGCTACCCTCAGGGTCAGCAGTTCGAAACTACCAGCTGTTCTGTGGGAGAAAGATGAGGGCTTTCTGCTCCCGTAAAGATTTACAGCCTCGGAAACCCCGTACAGGGTCGCTATGAGTCGGAACTGACTCCACGGCAATAAACCTAATGTGGTGCTGTAGGATAAGCACTGGACCTCATGGTTTGAACCCCAAGGTCAGTGGTTTAAACTCACCAGCGGCTCCTCAGAAACCCTATACAGAGTTGCTACGCTCCAGAACCAGCCCCACAGCACTTAAAAACACAGTGACAACAACTGTGTGCTCATGGGAGCATGGTAGCTTGTAGGATAAGCACTGGGCTGCAAACCACATAATTAGTGGTTTGAACCCCCCAGCTGCTCCTTGGAAACCTTACGCAGGATCGCTATGAGCTGCAGCCAACTCAATGGCATGTAACCACAGCATAGTAACTTCATGTGCATGCAGCGGCTTTGTCAGATACGCAATGGCCTGCGAGCCACCAGCTGCTCCTCACAAAAAAAGGTGAGGCTTTCTGCTCCTACAAAGAGTTACAGCTTCAGAAACCCTATACAAGTTGCTATGAGTCGAACCATTGACAGCACTTAACGACAACAACAACACCGTGTGCTCATGCACCATCATTAGAGTCTGGTGTGCTGCTATGATGTGAAACAGGTTTCAGGGCAGCTTCCAGAGCAAAAGTGACTAGGAAGAAGGGCCTGGCAATCCACTTCTGAAAACCAGCCAGTGGTTTTCACAACCTGGGGATTATACCATCGGATCTGCAACCAATGATGGGTATGGCACAGGACTGGACAGTATGTCATTCTGTCGTGCATGGGGTTGCCATGAGTCGGGGGGCCCTCTTGATGTCAGCTACCAACACTCCTTGTGCATGGGGGTGTAACAAGGAACAAAATGAGGTAATGGAATCCTTTCCCTGGTGAAGCACAGACACAAGCACTGCCTAGTCTGGGGTTTGAACAACTTGTTCATGAGCTGGACAAACCAAAGTTTGATCCTTCCAAGCTGTGTGGTCTTGGACTTGTGGCTAAACCTCTCTAGTCTTAGTGTGATTCGTTTAAATTATAAAACATATGTAGGCACTCTCGTCCACTGCCCTTAGAGTGTGCCACCGTAGGTGGACTGTGCCCACAGAGCCCCTTGTTTGGTCTGTGCAATGAGCACAGAGTAAGTGCCCACCTCATAGGAAACAGTAAGATTTACATGTGGTAACATACAGGACATGTGCATGAATAACACCTGTAGATGCCCCCACAGGCCAGGCACTGTGCTCCCTCCCCCCTTGCCTTTCATCCATTCATCTCAACAGCCTCATGAGGCAGACTTTAGCATCTTCTTGTTACAAGCATGGGCATGGAGGTGCAGAAGGGTTAAGTACCTTGTCCAGTGTTTAACCTTGCACTCTGGAATGCTCTGGAAATGCTACTTCTGGAAGGTTCTGTGAGATAGGACTATGATGTGTGGACTCTCCAGCTGTCCCCTCCTCTTGTTTGCTTTCTCACTTGGAGGGCTTTGCTAAGAATGCAGAGGGGTACCTCATACTTCTGTTGGCAAGTCTCCTCCTGGTTTACTGGGCACTTGTCTCATCCTTGCTGTGTGACCTTGAGCCAGTTGCTCCCCCTCTCTGAGCCTTAGTCTCCATAATGATGTGCAAAACCAAGGGGCTTCGAATATTCTTTTTCCATTGCAGACCCATTTGGGGCTCTTAGGCTAAGGGCTTCAGATTTGGCTCATGAATTTTGTTAAAACACCTTCCTCACAATTATGCTCAGTCTGCCTGCTCTGCAACCATTTCCAGGGCGGCTTCCAAAGCATCTATAAACTTGCGTTGCAAGATGCGCTGCAGTCATGAGGAAAATTCGGCAGCCGAGCAGAAATAAAAGTTCTCCTCTTTTTCAAAGCCAGCTGGATTCCAGCACACAAGGAAGAGTTAGAGCACAACCTAGGCATTCACACTTGCATTCTGGAATTCTGCATGGATTACTTTGTTTATCACTTGGGGCAGGGGAAGGTGAGCAGCCTCCAGAGAAAAGCGCCCTTTGAGACTCAGGAGTCATTCCCCAAGCATTGTCATTGTCCTGATGTTAGAACCAGGACTCAGAGAAGCTCCAGTGACTTAGCCAAGGTCACAAAGCCAGCCCTGTTCCAGCCTGGGGACGCTTTCCACAACCCCAGAGCCCTCTTTTCTGTTTTCAGTACGCAAACTCAACTTTGCAACGCAGTGGCCCCCAGGAAACAGCCAGCTGGTAAAGCTCTTCTCAGCACCTGGGAAAGGAATTCACATCCATCCGCACCTTCGCAAACGATGTCTAACGGCATCCAGCCCTTTTCTGCAAACCCTCTTCCCTGCAGCAAATAACAACTTCCCCAAAGTTGGACTCACCCTCCTGTCTTCGGGAGCCGGGTTCCAGCTGTTCCTCAGTCAGGCAAGGGAAACCCATGTCTCAGAGACTGGGGAAGAGGTTCCTGGTGGCGCTGAAGGGCACGAGAAAATGCTAAACACAGCAGTCTCTGATAGAGTTAGTCTGCAACCCTTCTTAGCGTGCCTCCTCCTGAAAGCACAAGTTCATTCATCCTGAGTGTGTGAGTGTGTGTGTGTCTCCAGCAGCTGCAGAGAGCCCTGGGGGGTGGGGTGGACTTTCAAAGGACCCAGAAGCAAGAAGTCTGGGGGTGGGGGGTGTCTGTGCTCTGAGGAGCCAGCTGGGAGAGCTGGGAGGCTGTCCTGCTTCAGCAGCAAGCTCTGCGCTCCAGAGTCCCACAGGGCTAGCCAGTGTGGTCCTGCAAGGGAGAGGGGGTGAAGAGAAGGGAAGGGCTTAGAAATAATCTCTGTACCAGCCAGCATCAGGCAGGAGCAGAAGCCGTCCTGCCAACTGCCTACAAGGCACGGAGAGCCATCCTCCCTCCCTGCCAAGGAAGAGCCTGAGAGCAATTTGGGATCCGGGGCACCGGCAGCTACATAGTAACCATATGTGCTGCGGAATCAGTTTTGACTCATAGCGACCCTGCATAGGGTTTCCAAGCTTGTAAATCTTTACGGGAGCAGTAAGCCTCATTATTCTCCCACGGAGAAGCTGGTAGTTTTGAACTGCTGACAGTGAGATTAACAGCTTGACTCGTAACCAGTACGCTACCAGCAGCTACCTGGTGGTTGGTGGTTATGTGCCGTGGAGTCAGTTCCGACTCATAGTGACCCTGTACAGGGTTTCTGAGGCTGTAAATTTTTATGGGAGCAGAAAGCCTCATCTTTCTCCTGTGGAGAAGCTGGTAGTTTCGAACTGCTGACCTTGCAGTTTGCAGCCTGATTCATAACCACTATGCTACCAGAGCTCATTAGCAGCTCCCTAAGCACCTTCAAAAGTCCTGGGAAGTTGGTGCTGATGGTGGCAAGGTGCTTGGGTTGAAGCTACAGGAGGAATTTTTTTGCTGCTTTCAGTCCCCCGGGCAGGTCCAGACCGAGAGGCTCAGGCTGTGAGCACTGAGGAAGCCTGGGAGGTTGCTTTAAGCAGTGAGAAGAGGTGCTCAGCTGTTACACACACTGGGAACCCCGCCTCCAATGGAACAAGACTGTGTTAGGGATCAATTATGTTTCCCAAAGGATACGATGACATCCCAAACCCTGCACCAGCGAATATGGCCTTATTTAGTGATAGGGTTTCTCCTTTGTTAAGTTAATAAATTCCTGGAGCTGCAGGATAAACACTGGACTGCTACTCAAAAGGTTGGTCGTGGAAACCCACCAGCCGCTCCTCGGAAGTCATATACGATATGACTATAAGTTAGAACCGACTGGACTGCACTTCACAACAACAACAACTAGCAGTGAGTGGAATCGAATCCCTTCTGAATGGTGTTTCATAAATGGAGACAGATGCACACACAAAGGCAAAACGATGTGTGAGGATCTACCTACAATCTAAGGGACACCAAGAACTGCCCAGGGCTTCCAGGAACTGATGGAGACAAGGCAGGATCTGCCCCTCAGCAGGCAGGGAGAGAGAGGATGGTCCCGCCAATACCCTGGATTCAGATCTGCAGCCGGCAGAAATCTATGAGACCGTACGCCTTTGTTCTCTGATGTCACCCACTTGTGGGATTTCGTAGTAGTGACCCTCTGCCATGCACTGCCAGAAGAACAAACAATCTGTGAGGGGGAAGGACAGCCAGCATGCTCCTTAGACACTAGGATGGCAACACTTTGTCCCACGGACTTTGAACATGTTATCAGGGGGAATCAGTCCCTGGAGAAGAACATGTTTGATAAAGTAGAGGGTCAGAGACAAAGAGGAAAACCCCCAACAAGATGGAGTGACACTGTGGCTGCAACATTGGGCTTAGACATGTAACCATCGTGTGGACAGTGCAGGACGGGGCAGTGTTTTGTTCTGTTGTGCGTGGGACGTCACCTAAGAATAGCAGCAGCTGACATAGGCTGCATGACCTTGGACAGGCGCGTTAGTACCCGCGTCTCAGTTTTCTGGTTTGTTGACAAAACAGTGGAGGGGAGGTTGCAGTTTAGACACTGAGTTTCTGATGGATCTCCGTGGGGGTGGGGGGCGGAACAACATGGTGAAGACACTCAAGGCACTGAATTGTACGGGTCAGGAGTGTTGCATTGGAAATGGTTTGTTGTATGTATTTCTGTCACAGTAAATCACGTTTTTAAAAAAGTTTTTATTGTTAGTTGAGTGATAGTTTACATAGGAGAACACTGGTTTTACACTCATTGTTTCATTGCAATGATTACAATCCCCTCAGCATCATCACTCAACAGTATTTGCTACTATTCCCTCTGTTTTTTTGTGTATGTTGTTTTTGTTTTTGTTTGGGGGGGGTGTACACAATAACTTAAACAACCAAAGGGTACATTCTGCAAGCCTGCCTCTGGGTTGCCAGCACCCTGTCCCTTTCTTTCCATGAACCTCGAGTCCTCAGCTGCTCCCTCTCTCCATGTCCTCATCTCTGCCTCCATGTCTCGTGTCACTGCTGCTCTGGATAGGGTCCCAGATTCTACTCATGTTCTTTCTTCTCTGTTGATGGTCCTAGGGTCCTCTGTTTCTGGATTGTAAGGTTAACTACTCCCACCTTTATGTTACAAAACTTCTACCTTTACAGTTGTGGCTGTCACAATTAGTAATGATAACAATTACTCACTATTAAGTCATAAGAATCTTTTCCCCATCTCTTTTCACCAGATCCATCTAGACAAGATGAAATCTATTCAGTGGGGACTCTACCTTCCCCCACACACTCTTAAACTAAACTCCCTATTGAAAACTTGTAAGCCAGTCACTTCATGCCTTTTTTGTCCCCCTAGTAAATTAATTTTTTTAAAAATGGAATGAGGGGGGAGTTCTGGGAGGGTCAAGTCAGAACCAACTCAATGATAATAAGTCAACTACCAGTACCTTCAGTTCTGCTCCTGTTAGTGCTGACACCCCACCCTGGGCACAGTGGGTTTGTTTTTTGGGGGGAGCTATCTCTTATAAGGAATCCTGGTGTAGTGCTGTGGGCTAATGCACTGGACTGCAAAGTCATTTGAACCACAATGTTGGTAGTTCAAGCTCACTAGCCACTCCTTGGAAACCTTACACAGGATCGCTATGGGTTGGAACCGACTCGACAGCACTTAACAATGACATCTCTTATGAGGAGTCTTGGTGTAGTGCTGTGGGCTAATGCACTGGACTGCAGTCATTTGAACCACAAGGTTGATGGTTCAAGCTCACCAGCCGTTCCTTGGAAACCCTATACAGTGTTGCTATGCGTCGGAAATGACTCCAAAGCACTTCACAACATCTCTTATAAGGAAACCAGTCCTTGGATGTACCGTACTCCAATATGGTCTCATCTTAATTAATTACATCTGCAAAGATCCTCTATCCAAATATTTCCGAGTCTCAGGTACAAGGAGTCAGGACTTGAACACACCTTTTTGGAGGACACAGTCCAACCCACTATAGGGTGACCAAGGGGAGGACAAGGGGATGGGACTTTCTGCTTGCTACACTGACTCCACCATGGAAGTTAACCTGCTGAACTGTTTGCAGTAATGAGACTTTAAATGTATCCCATATAAATGCTGCGGCCCTATGTGACCACAGCACCTGTTAGACAGGAAGAAGCTCTGTCCCAGTCCCTGGCTCCCCAGCTCATTGGCTCCATGGCTGCTCTCCAGAGGTGTACACCACGCCCACAATCTTCCCAGCTCATGCTGGTTTCCCCTCTCTGTCGCTCCCCCATTCCCCCCCCCACCCCCACACAGCTCTTTATTATTTATCTTGACTTCAGTCTCTTTGGCTAAATCTCCCCCCACCTGCACTTCTGCCCAGCTCTCTCTGGATTCAAAGTTTAAGTATTCAAATCAAGATTTTCCCAAGTCCTTGGTGGGTGACCTTGAGCAAGTTTCTTAACCAATGGTGTCACTAGGATTGGTGTCCCCCCCACCCCCCAACCCCATGGACTTACCCCCTTCTCTGTATCAGACCACACAGAATCCTTAGTAATGCCTCTTTCCCATTGAATCGTAGGACATATGTCATCCATGTAGTTGTGAATTGCTTAAATACATTTCTTAGAGTATGTGAATATCAACAACAAAACTGTTTTGTAAAATCTTTCTACATTGAATTACCACATTTAGTAACTGATCAGAAGTCTTTGATTTTTCTCCTTTTTTTTTTTTTTTTTTTGATTACTATACTCTCAAAAAAGATGTTAATACAGGTTCATAAACGCTGTTGTTGTTGTTAGGTGCTGCTAAGTGGGTACTGACTCATAGCAACCTCATGCCAACGTAATGAGACACTGCCCGGTCCTGTGCCAACCTCACAATTGTTGGCACACTTGTGTCCATAACCACTGCCACTGTGCCATCTCATTGGGGGGTCTTCCTCTTTTTCTCTGACCCTCCACTTTACAGACTATGATTCCTTCTCCAGAGACTGGTCCCTCCTGATAATATGTCTGAAGTATGAGAGACGAAGTCTGGCCCTCCTGGCTTCTAAGGAGCACGCTGGCTGCACTTGTTCCAACACAGATTTGTTTGTTCTTTTGGCAGCCCATGGCACTTTTAATATTCTCCTCCAACACCCATAGCCCAAATTCATCAATTCTTCTACAATCTTAATTCATTGTCCAATTTCTCATGCATATGAGGTTATTGAAAATATCAGGCTTACCTTAGTCCTCAGACTGATATCTTTGCTCTTGAACACTTTAAAGAGGTCTTATGCAGCAGATTTGCCCATTGCAAATTGTCTAGTGGTTTAGCTACAACATTGTGGTAAGTAGAATTTATGTCTTCTCACAAATACTACTAACCATAATGCTGTAGCTAAGCCACTAGACAATTTGACAAAATCAGCTACTACAAAACCACCAAGAGCAAAGAAACAACAGTGTGTGCTTGTAGCTCATATAGAGAAAACCGTGTGATTCGGAGCATTCTTGTAACGGGCATGTTGACAGGTCTATCCTGTGTGCCTTTGGATGTTCAGAAAGAAAATGAGCAGAGTTTTAACCTTGTAGGTATTTTGATGCAGGTAAGCTGGGCTTACAAAATGATTTTGCTGTTATAGCTAACTACAGGGATACTTTTATGAAAAACTCATAAATTTCTGCTGGAACGCTGCACATTTTATAGACTGTCATTTTGGTGTGACCAACACTAACAGTGTCACCCAGTTGGGTCCACACCCCTAAAATTTCTAACGTAGTCTATGTTCTTAGTTTCTCTGTGCCTCAACTTTTACATCTGTAAGATGGGGATTTTTGCATTTACCTATTGATTTAACTGGACTCCTGGTGTGGTGCTGTAGGATCAGCACTGGACTGAGAACCACAAGGTCCGCAGTTCAAACCCACCAGCTGTTCCTCAGAAACCCTATATAGTGTCGCTATGAGCAGGAATCCAACTTGACAGGACATAACAACAGCAATTGATTTAATGCACTGTGTGATGCACCGGTTAAGTGCTTGGTTGCCAACCCAAAGTTAGATGGTTCGAACCCGCCAGTCACCCCTCGAGAGAAAGATGTGGCCGTCTGTTTCTGTTCTGATTTGAAGCCTTAGAAAATCACGTGGACTAACTCTACTCAGTCCCCAGCACTGCTATGAGTAGAAATTGACCTGAACACAAGAAGTTTGGTGTGTTGGTTTCATCTTTACAACAGTCGCCTGCCACGTCTTCTTCCCGCAGAGCAGTTGGTGGGTTCCTACCACCAACTTTTCAGTTAGCAGCCAAGCGCTACACCGCTGCACCACCAGGCCACCCAAATCTCTGGGCCCATGACCCCTTTTACTATCTTTAAAAGCCAGTGGTATAACATCTTCAGAAAGCTCTCTGCCTCCGCCATTCTTGCCTTCTTCTCATAAGGCCCCTTATGACAACACTGGAGCCACCCAGACAATTCAGGGTGTTCTTCCATGTCAAGATCTTTCATTTAGTCACCTGTGTAGTTCTGGGGGGCAGGAAGGGAAATCCTGATGAGTGGTGTTTGCCCATTACTGTGGTGTAAATTCTCCACACAGTTTCAAGCTAATAACATCACATCACTGAACTTGGAGTCAAGAAGAGATGCGGATGATTGGTTCTTCCAGTCAGGTACCAGCTGGCTTCAGTCCATCACGGGAAGGTCAAGGAAGAGCTCCCTTGGTTCAACCTTGATGGGTGAGCCACAGTGAGCATGGTGAAGAAGAAGGTGTTGGAGAAGGGGTAGATTAGATAAAGGCAGGGCACTGGAAGGGACTCAGCATGACCAGAGAGTTTGATATGAAGCAGCGAGAGCCAGGAAACAAGAGCAAAAGAGCAGGTGAAAACCACAAGGTGAGAGGTCTTCTACACTTTGCTGAGGAGTGTGGCTGTTGTCCTGTGGTTAACAGGCATGGGCTAGGGCACTGGTGAGTTTAAAGCTGCTGTGGTTTTAAGGCACTCAGTGACTGGGCTTCATCCAGACCAGTACAATCAGAACTTCAAGACTGGGGCCACATAGAGAGAAGGAATGCTTTGAAATGTCTTCAGTGATTTTAATGTGCAGCTAGGATTGGAAACGGCAGTTCTAAATCAGCAAGGACTCTGTTAGATGTGTACTTTCAAGACCTCAGACACTGCTATTGGTGTTGGTAAGTGTTGTTGAGTTGGTTCCCACCCATAGTGACCCTGTATAGGGTTTTTGAGGAGAAGCTGGTGACCTTGAACTGTCGACCTTGCAGTTCAAATGACTTTTGCAGTCCAACACATTAACCCACAGCGCCACACCAGGACTCCAACACTTTTAAAGGGCCATTTGCCCTTCAGATACTTGCCCATGTTTACAGAGACCCAGGCCCCAGCCCCAAGCCCTCTATTTCCCATCAGCCATCAGTGTAGTCTGCAAGTAGCCTCGCTGGGTTTTCATATTCACCTGTGACCATGGCTGCCCAGAGGTCCTTGAAGTCAGCAGAAAGGTAAAAGTGAAAGGTTTGTCCTACTGTCTTCTACTTCCTTTGTTGGGAAGGGTAGAAAGCAGGGCTGTAAACCGTTCTGGTGTTCCGGTTTACTTCCCTGCTGTGAATTCATATTTCCACCCCAGATATTCAGAATCTGAATTACAGAACCTCTCTGTTTTTTTCTTAGATTTAAGTAAGAATCATCTGTAAGCATAAGAATCACCGGGGGATCTTGTTGAACTGTGGGGGGTCGACCCAGAATGAACCTTGTTGAATCTGGAAGAAAGAGCTCGCTGAGTCACTTACAGCTGGCTACGCTTTCTGCTTCAAAATACTGCTCAAGATGTAATTACCCCGAGACTCTTTCTGAAAGCAAATCTGTCCTTGGGCAGTTTTCAGAAGTTGTGGCTTGTCAGAAAACAGTGGCTGCTACAAAGGGACACATCATTGAGTTTAAATTGTAAAGGCCAGGCAAAGACTGTGGGAGCCAGGGAGTCTCTTCTTTAGGAATGGGAGCCACTGTTATTATAGTCTGATTGAGGAATGGCCAGCAGGGCCTGAGCTGGCATCTCAGCATGCCGGCACCCCCACCCCTCTTACCCAGGCAGGTGCCTGTACCTTTTTATTACAAAAATTTCAAGCCAGCAAAAAAATGAAAAATGAGTACAGTGAATATCCCTATTTACTACCTGACTCCTAACTGCTTACATCTTGGCCTGGTATATATATTTTCTGCAACATTTTAAACTAAATTACAGATCCCCCTGAGGTTTTACCTCTGAATTCTTCAGCACAGACAGCCAGAAAAATTAAGATCATTTTCTACTTAACCACAAAGCCATGATCACATTGAACACAATTAATAAGATTTCTCCTGAATCCTGTCCCTGCAGTGCTTGTACATGGGAAGCTAGGTCTCAAGGGGTGGTTGCATGCCGGGTAAACAGCTTGGTAAGGATGATTTGTGGATGGGAATGCTGCGGTCTCTGCCAGCAAGTTCTTGGCCTACTGAGATGGGCCTGGGCTGTGTTGTGGGGCTACGTGCCCCTTGGGAGGTGTCTCTAAGGGAGTTGCATAATGAACACACGTTCTGTTACTGATGCGTGAGCCTTCTTATTTTTTGGTCTTGTGGAGGAAGAAACTGAAACTCAGCTTACAAGGGTGTTGGAAGATGGATTCGGGGTCCCACAGCTCACTCCCAGCACTCTTAGTACACAAGTTTTAGCACTGAAAGTAAGCCCATCTGTTGGTTTCTCCTTCGTGTAACTCAGAGAGGGTGGTTAGGGGTCAGGGAGAATGGCCAGTGGGTTTTCACGTACACTTCCTGTTGAGTTCTTTCTGCATTCCTCTCACTGAACTAATGTCACGTTGTAATCCCTCCAACACTCCTCGGAGGTAAACACAATTACTCTCCCAATACAGAGGTGGAGACTCGGGGGACTGGAGAAGTTCGTTGGGATTCGAAACCAGGTCTTTGTGTTTCCAGCTACTCTGTTAGACTTCAATAGTATTGTAAGTTCCAGTCAGACTACATTTCTGGGGCTGTGTCCCTGCCTCAGGCACCAAGATAAGGGTTTGAAGTTGAGTCAGATCTGTGAGAAATCAGGGGTAACTCGTACTGGGTTGTTGTTGTTGTTAAGTGCTGTGGAGTCAGTTCTGACTCATAGCAACCCTGGATAGGTTTTCCAAGGAGCAGCTGGTGGGTTTGAACTGCCGACCTTGTGATTCAAACCAATCTTGGATTCCAGTGCTTTATCCCATAGTGCCACCCAAATTGTATAGACAGTGCTTCATTTTCCGTTTAATTTAACCTATTAATCTCCATGCATTATTTGGAAACCTTCTTGTGGGAATAATGATTTACTAAAACATGTATTAGTAACAATATAGCAATGTTAGGATAATATTATTAATTTTCTCAGTGGTCAATATAGGTGGCTAGTTCATTGGGTGTTTAGCAAAGCCTATCTGGAGGGCTCTTGGAAATGCAGAGCGAGCCAAAAGCGCCCAACTTCCAATGGAGTTCCAGTTTTTGCTGAGATCTGCCCACAGACAAGCACAGTGGAAGTTCCATTCCCGTGGAGCTAAGTGTCCCTCAGGAGGTGTCTCTCTACCATGGTAGAGCCTGCGGAATCCTCAGAGGTGAACAAAACACAGCTCTGGCCTTAAAGTCTTCATGTGAGGGACCACTGACATTCAATCAAGATGTTGTTGTTGTTAGGTGCCATTGAGTCGGTACTGACTCACAGTGACCCTATGTACAACATAATGAAACTCTGCCCATTCCTGGGCCACCTCACAATTGTTGCCATGCTTGAGCCCATTTATGCTTTCACTTGGACAATCCATCTCGCTGGAGTCTTCCTCTTTTTCTCTGACCCTCCACCTTACCAAACATGATATTCTTTTCCAGTGACTGGTCCCTACTGATAATATGTCCAAAGTATGACAGACGAAGTTTGGCCATCCTGGCATCCAAGGAGCACTCTGGCTGCGCTTCTTCCAACACAGATCTGTTAGTTCTTTTGGCAGACCATGACACTTTCAATATTCTCCTCCAACACTATAACTCCAAAGCATCAATTCTTCTACGGTCTTCCTTATTCACTGTCCAGCTTTCGCATGCATATGAGGCTATTGAAAATACCATGCCTTGGGTAAGGTGCACCTTAGTCCTCAAGCTGACGTCTTTGCTCTTCAATGCTTTAAAAAGGTCTTGTGCAGCAGATCTGCCTAATGCAGTATACGTCATTTGATTTCTTGACTGCTGCTTACATGAGTGTTGATAGTTGATCCAAGAAGTATGAAGTCCTTGACAACTTCATTTTCTCTGTTGGTAAGAATGTTGTTTATGGGTCCAGTGGTGGGGACAGATTCAGAGAAATGTTAAATGTGGTATGACAATTGAGTTTTAGGAGAACAGGGGAAATCGAGATTGATTCTAATTGGAAGAATCCCAAGAAGACATATGGAGGAAGGGGCATTTGAAATGGACATGAAGTATGCTTAGGAGTTCTAGCAGCACCATTGACACAGATGAAGGCATTTTGAGCTGAGGCATATGGGGAGAGAGGACAGAGTAGCTGGCTCTGGGGAGTGGTGAGAGGGTAGGTTAGTAAGGGCAGTAGGGGTGAGAGCAAACAAAGATGGCTTTGAAAGCTGGGTCAGGCACTGGGCTTGTGTTCCGGTCATTATAGGGCACAGGACTGCCTGAAGAAGCACATGACCTGGTCTGATCTCCCTTAGGGAAGGCAGGTCTAGAAGGAACAGTTGAGAAACCAGGCAGTCCCCAGTTAGGAGACCATCCAGAGTGTGTAAGGCTAGGACTGAATGAGGAGGGCTTCCGGAGGAGCCTGGGGACCTGGGGTCTGGATGGGTGGAGGGTGGGGCTGTCAGCACAGTGAGCAGAGGAAGAGGGCTGGAAGACCCCAAGACTGCCAGCCTGTGGGATGGAGCAGATGGACAAGGCACCAACACTCTGGGCAGCAGGAAAGCAGGTGAGATTTGGGGGAAAGTGGGTCACAGACTTGGAGCATATTAATCTAAGGGAATCTGACTGGAAATGTATGGGAATTTGAGGTCCTAACACAGAGAAGCATGTAGCTGGAAGTACAAATGTGGGTCTCCTCAGCACTTCCGTTGCTGAGCAGATGTCGCCCCAAGCGAGAAAGGAAGGGGCGCAAAGGACTCTGGGAGCGCTCTCAAAGGGTTCTGGGAAGGGATTGTCACGTGGTGGCCAGATTCCCGGAGCAGTGTCACATGAGTGGGGGAGGTGGGAACAGAGACTTCTGCTAGGCGGCCAGCAAGGATGAGGACAGGCAGCTGGCCCAGGCACTGGGCATTTGGGAGGTGTCAGAGGTCACCTTGAGAGTGGTGCCCATGTTGGGAAGAGCAGCCTGGGTGGAGCCTGTAGGCCGAGCATCAGCAAACCTCACAGAGCAGCACAGGGAGAGGACAGGACAGTAGATGGAGGGTAACTGAGCTTTGTCAGGCGGCCACCTGTTAGTTCCTGCAGAGGTTTCATTGACAGATGATTCCACTGTCATGAAATACTGAGAATAAGTAAATGCATAGAGGCAGGGCCTAGCTGAGCGGTTCCCAGGGGCTGGGGAGACTGTTGTTTGTAAGTGCCGTGGTGTCACTTCTGACTCTTAGCGACCCTCTGGAGGGTTTCTGAGGAGCAACTGGTGGGTTTGAATCTCCACCCTTGCAAGTTGCAACTGATCTTGGGGTCCAGTGCTTATCCTATACCAGGATGCCAGAGGACGCAGAGTTTCTGCTGGGGGGATGACAACGTTTTGGAAATGGGTAATGGTTACAGTTGCAAAGCATGGTGAGTGTAATTAATGTTACCGAATTGCACACATAAAAATGGTCAAACTGGCAAATTTTATTTAT